ATATTGAGTATATATAAATTGATAATGAGAAAACATAAATTCATAATGAGAAAATACGTACATTCAGGCCTATCGCTGGGTGTTAGCGAAGATACGGAAGCAAAACCAAGTGGTGTAAGCGCCCGAAAAAGCTGACTGAAGACAACGTGATGACTATGTTATCATGGCATGAAGGTGACTGCAGTTTTACTTGGACAATTAAAAAGAAAAACACAAAACCAGTTTAATGTAGAATTGAGCACCACATCAGTGGCAAATTATCTCGAGGGCAATCTGTACAGTTGCAAAAAAGTCCACACGCAACCAATAACCATGAACTCGCAGGATAACAAATTGAAATGAGCCGAAAGTGGTAAACAAATAGCATGGAAGGATGAAACAAATTTTAATTTGTTTTGCCGAATGTCACGTTGCCGATAAAAAAAATTGGCCACCGAGCCACTCTACAGCTCCCTGCTTCCAGAGGGACAAACGTCCACCTTATTAATGCAATAACCACAGCTGAAGTGTTACACATAAAAAGGCAAACGGGGGCGCTCACACACAGCAGGGGTGTAAATGCGTTGTCCAACTGTAATTTTGGGTTGTATATATTATAAATTTTTTTGGCAGTGTCCCTTGATGCTTGCTTTAATTCACCTAATATCGCGACATTAGCCCGCAGACTCCAGAGTAATGTACTTGTAGCTCTTCAGTGATATAATTTTTCATTATCAGTTTACATTTTCTCATTAGGAATTTACGTTTTCTCATTATCAATTTACTAGCAGACCCGGCAAACTTCGTCCCGCCCAAAATTTTTATATATTTTATTGAAACTTTTTGATCCAAGATTTTCACCAACAATTCACGTTTACAATTTTCATATGCACATTCGTCTGCTAAGATTATGGTTTGGTGGTCATTTGCCGCTTTAAATAACCTAAGGAAAGTGTTATATCCGTGAAGAAGTTCTTGAAATTCTCCAGTTGTGCGGCATTTTATAGCACGGTTATTCGCAAAGCGAAATAAATTTTTTCCTCCTAGAAGCTTTACAGTATAGTTGGTGGCAATTTCAAAATGGGTACGAATCAATGTTCTACAGAAATGCAATATACATATAAC